ATTACTTTAGTATAAGGTGCGTCCCTATATTAGGAAAATAGTTCCCTACGGATTTTTTTAGCGTTCTGTAAAACCTATAGTTTTAGTAGATATACGTATTTTACTATAGTTAGCTATAAACTATAGTAGGGCTAGAAACTTTAGGCTATCTAAGTTACTAACGTGCAACACAAGCGAGCCGGCCACCTAAGCGAGCCGGCCACCTAAGCGAGCCGGCCACCTCATCACCAAAACGCGCTCCGTTAGCTTTCAACCACTATGTCTCAACAACGCAATATACAATCAATCCAAAAAGAAGGCCGAATCTGCCTAGCTATCTTAGCAATTGATAAGAATCAACTTCAAAGCGAACGACGCGCTGTTGCAACGTACAACGTCCCTAGAAGCACGCTCCAAGACCGACGCGCCGGAACCACCGCTCGACGCGATTGTAAGCCCAATTCAAAAAAGCTTGTAAAGCTAGAGGAATCAGTTATTATTGAACATGTACTCGATCTGGATTCGCGAGGGTTTGCGCCTAGCTTAAACGCTGTAAGAGATATGGCCAATAAGTTACTTAGAGAGCGCGGTGCCGGCCAGGTTAGCAAGAACTGGCTATGCAACTTTGTTAAGCGGACCAATAAGCTTTAAACACGGTTTAATTAAAAGTATAATTGCTAGAGAGCTCTATATAAAGATCTAAGGATTATTATGCTATAGTTTAAGCTTATACGCAATATAAAGGCAAAGTATAGTATTATAGATAATAACTTCTATAACTTTAATAAAACCGGCTTCTAAATAGGTATTATCTTAATAGAAGTAGTTATTATAGGCTCTAAGAGACAAAATTAACTAAAAGCTATATAACTAGGTAATCGCGAGTAGGCTACTGTAATTAAGGCTATTAATATATATAAATAGGTAATCCCGCTGTTTATTATTTTTATAGGTAAGTACCACCTTTCTATATAGTATAAAGGCAGTAATATACTGCTAAACTAGGCTATAGCAGTAAGTAATAATAGCTAGACAATAAATAAGCTTAGTATTATATAGCTGTAATATTTTAATATATATATAAAGGACCGCACTATAGGCGTATATTACTTACTTATTTTAGATAGTTATAAAAGCTATAACTTACTTAAATTTAAAGAGCTTTATAAGGAGAATAATATTATTACGCTATATATACCGCTGCACGCCTTATATCTATTACAGCCGCTTAATATAGGCTGTTTTGCGCTGTTGAAAAAAGCGTACAGTTGCTAAATTAAGGATCTAGCGCGCAACTATATTAACTATATTATAAAGCTTAAGTTCCTACCAGCTTTTAAAGTAGTATTTAACAACTTATTTATAAAAAGTAATATTTGCGTAAGCTTTTAAGGCGCCGGCCTTATACTGCTTAATCTAAAGGCAGTGCTTTTAAAGCTTAATATTATACTTTATACGCTGTTGCCTTTTACTATAGTAAAGGCTTAATAGGAATTAAAAACACTAAGTAATGCTCTTAAGCTAGGCACTTAATTAGCTTTAATTTATAATTGCATTTAAATGCATTAAAATAGCTTTTCTACTGCAATTTTTAAGTCGCTTAATTTGCTTATTAGAGGCGCTAAAATACAGATATATAGGGTAGTATTATTACGCGATTAGGTTATAAGCCTTTAAAAGGCGAATAAGGCCGCTATAAAGCGTAGAGAGCGCAAAAGAAAGCAAATTTAGAGGTAAGAAGTTCTAATAAAGGTATAAGGGTCTAATATAATCGCTTAAAAGGAAGCTAATAAATAAATTAAGGGCGAAATACGTTAAAATAGAAGGCGCCCGGGTGGAAGTGCACGGTAGCAAGCGCGCTGTAGGCGCTGCGGCGAGATAGGATATAATTTTCGTACGTGTTAAAAAGATAAGGAAGTTATTATAGAATAGACTGCAAGTTAAATTAAGTTAATATCTATTAGCGTTGTAGAGCAATCTACGTTTAAAGCTGTTAAAAGTTAATAAGGTAGCCGGCTTACTTAGGTGGCCGGCTTACTTATATTGCATGTTATAGTTAGCTATAAACTATAGTAGGGCTAGAAACTTATCTAACTTACTATATTTTGCAGCTAACTATAGTAAGTACTTATTATTACTGCAAAGAGCTAAAGTAAGGTAGCTAAAGTTACTATTTATACTATACTACTTTTTCTAAACTAGTAGTATACTTTCTTCTAGCCTTTATATATACTGCTTTTTTCTAGCAGCAAGGCTTACTATAAAGCTACTGCCTATATTAAGTAGGCGTATTATTCTAAGCTAATATTATATTCTAATATTAAGCTCGAGCTCCGCCGTGCTAATAATATAGTATTGCCTTACTGCTATATTATTATAATAGCGTTGTACTTAGTACCGCGTTTTTTAGACTTAATACTATTCTTTACCTTATATACCTGCTTATTTAATAGTTTAGAAAAGTTTATAAATCGTAATATTCTTTTTTCTAGTAAAGAGTATAAATTAATAAAAAGGTACCTATATATAATTTTCTCCGTTTAGCCTTAGCGGTTAAAGTAATAGAAGTACTGCTAGATCTTAGATATTTTATAGCTAGGCTTAACTATAAGATTATAGTTAGCTTATTATAAGCTAATACTAGTTATAATAGAATAGAGCGTGTATATTATAACCTATTTACTCTTATTATTATTAAAATTAGATTATAGCTTCTTCCGCTTATTAGGCGTTGCTCCGGCTTTATATAGTAAGATTTGCTTACTATTATATTTTTAGACCAGTTGATTATACTAGTATACTAAAGTAAGTAGGAATTAAGTTATAATAGTAATTTTAGCCCTTATCCTATTAAGTTTTTTTTCCTGCTAAACTTTTTTATAAAGCTTAAGTATTTCGGCTAGCTTTATATAGTTAGTAGTTAGGTAATTAAGAAGCGTAGTAAAGTTTCTAGAAAGGGGGTTACAGATCTAGCTTTATATAATTAGGTTACGTATAGTATAGCTTACGTTTTTACTTATACTTTTCTAGTACTTAACTAACTTTATAATAGTTGCAGCAGTCTTTATATTAGTATATAACGCCGAGTTTACTATATTAGGCGCCTTAGGCTTTAGTTCTAGTGCGCTATTATTTTTCTACTTTTCTACTAGCTTTTTATACCTATAGGTTTACTTAATTTTTACTATTTCTTCTAGTTCCTCTAAAATTGCCCTTTTTTTCTTATATAGTTTAAGCTACACAGTTACTAGTTCTAAAGTGCTGTTTTTTAGAATTACTAGAGTACTATTAAACTAAAGCGTTGCAGATCTATAGTATATCTAGAATATTAGAACTATTTTATAGAAGAAGCCGGCTAAAATCTTAAAATTAGGGTCGCCGATTGCCTTATCTAGGTGCGTTTTAGCGGTGTTAATTAGTATATTAAATTGTTTCCTTTTTACTGCTATTAACTCTACTATAATTTCGAGTAGTATATTATACTTAGTTTTTTTTTGCCCCCGGTTTAACTATTTCTTTATCTTTAGCCTGTCTAAAACTATAAATATTAGTAATAGTAGGTTCCTATTATCCGGCGTACTAAATATACCTTATATAAATAGATTATAGCTATAGGCCTTCTAGTAGTCTTCTACCTACCCTTAAATAAAAGTTAGGATAATCTTGCCTATTATATCTACCTTAAACAATCTAACGGCGTTTTAGCCGCCGATTTTAGAGGCTTATAACGCCGTTTTCTAAGGCTAACTTGCCGCAAAAACCCCCTAAACGCGCCGGCGCTGGCTCGAGCATACGTACCCTTCGGGTTTCCTATGTTAGCTAGCGTAGGCGCCAATAGTCGACGGAACAGACCAAGCCACCCTAGAGCCCGTTTTCTGTCCTGGGATGCGACGGCACGCCTGCGACCTTAGTCTATTCTTAACGCCCGCATCATGTCGACCCAAACTAAGGCCGCCCTGCCAGCGGCGTACTTAAAACCTTCTGCTCCTCGTCAGCTACGGATCCGCACACGAGAGCCCCCCCCTCTTTACTCTCCTCCGCTCGACCAGCTGCGTATCTACCATCTACCACGTCGTTCACTATCCTAGCCTTCTCCGATATCCCCTCCCTTCGTCGACCTCTACGTACCAACGCGACATGCGCCGTCGTCCATCGGTTGACGATTCCTCCGAGGCGAGCGAGTATGCGGAGTCTGACGTAGACGACGGTGTAGAGTCGGATACTAATCTAACCGATGTTGACACTTGTACCGACGAAGACAACAAGGATAACAAGCAATGCGAAGGTACAGAGGATGGAGCATAGCTCTCCCCTAATAAGAACCGTCCGCGTAAGCACTACCTTTAACAGCTGGAATTATTCAATAATTAAAAGTATATAAAAAAGGACTATAAGAACGGCACTACTCGCCTGCTAGATTATATAGAAGATTAGTAGAATTAGTAGGTTACTAGTTTCTATACTCCCCTATTAACCCGCGCTAGGCTTAAAATATACAACGCTAATATAGTATAGATACTAGGTATACCTTAGAAAAAACAGCCTCTATAACTATATAACTATATCCGTCCGCATACTATATACTTTCTTTAACTGGCTACTTAGTTAGTGCTAAGGGAAAAAAGAAAGGAAATATTAGGGTACTAAGTATACTAGCTCCCTTAGGATATACTAGAAAGTATATCGCCTAGTATATAAAAAAGCAACTAGCAATAAAATAGATAGTAAAATAAACCGGAGCATATATAAGGTACTTAAATTCTCCTTTTTATTTAAAACTTTATATTTAAGCTAAACTATAGGTACTGTAAAAACTAGTAAAAAAGTATAATCTAAAGAAAATAGGGCAAGATAAAGCCTGTATATTTATAGAGGATTAGACCCTAGTACTATAAATAAGTTTTATAATAACTAAAAAAAGGTTTCCTTATAAATAGTATAGGATATAAAACTATTTCTACTTATAAATTAGTAGTTTTATAGTAAATTAGCTATAAGCTATTTTTATATTCTGCTATTAGTATATACTAGTTACGCTGCTCCGGGATCTAAAAAGTGGGCCTTATCGGGTATTACTAGAGTTTACCTTTAAATTTATAAAAAAGTTCCTTAGAATAAAGAATATATAAGTTCTATAAGTTTTTAAGTTTAGCTAATATCTATATATTTCTAAGAAAATGCTAACTTTAGTAAGAAATACCTTTCCTCTTCCTAAAATTATATTTAATAAGTTCCTTATTTTTAGTTTATATATTTTCCTTTTTAGAATACTTTTCTATAATAGAGCGTTCGCACTATATAATTTAATATCTAAAGAAAAGTTAAGCAGGCTTTATATTCTACTAGGGCGTAATAAGCTACTATTACTCCTAAATAGAAAACTAGATAAAATTCCAGTACTTTAGCAATCTATAAAAACCCTAAATAGCTAAACTATTTTAGAAAACCAGCCTTTTTAGTACTCTATATTACTGCCCTAGATTAAAATACTAGGCGAAATTACAGGGTTTACCTAAATTACCTAGCCCTATTTATTAAAATATAATAGAGGAAAGGCCTTTAATAAAAATAGTAAGCTTAGCCTAAGTAGTTATTAGTAAAACGTAATATTAATATAATATATAGGTAATATTAGTAAGGCTATATAAAACCTTATAATAATATACTGTAATAGCCGGATATTTTTAAAACACTATTTTTCGCAATATATTATAGTAGATATATAAGCTGTTATATAAGGTATTAAGCCCTAAAACGTATTAATACGAGTATTTTATACTATAAGTTGCTTAATTAATTTTTAATAGCTATAATAGCTTACTCTAGAATAATCTATATTAGTAAATAATAATCCTAAAGTTTTTTACCTGCTCTAATAATAAAAGCAACTTAGGCGTAAACTCTAAAATCCTATAAAGTATCTAAAGTATATAAAGCTTAATTGCAAAATTAACTAGGAAAAGCAGCGCTAGTAAGATGCTCTTTTTAAGAATATTAAGGAACGCTGGAAGTATAAGCAACCTGTGCGTAATATTAAGCAGCAGCTTACCGGTATTAAAAGTAAAAATAAGGTTGTTATAGTACAGCCTTAATATGCTATACTCCTAGCATAGAAAAAGCTAGCTAATACTATTATAGCCCCGCCGGGAGTTAGTCTAGAAGTAGAAATATACCGGTGTAATAGAGCTATTTAAGCTATTATAGAATATTATAGGGTTAAGAAGGGCGGAATACACCCTATTCGACTCTAACTATTAAGCGGTTATATTTTACTAGGTAAAAGCAAAGATAATACCTAGCTAGACTTATCTATATAAGTGCTAGAAGTAGCTAAGGTATCTATATATAAGGAAATAAGACTAAGGATATATTTTATTTACCTAGGTAACGAAAATCTACCTATAGAACTGCGCATATACTTATTTTATACCTTAGGCAATTTTAGTAAATATTTTAAGAGAAAGCACCTAGTAAATACTAGGAAAAGAGAATTTATTAGATATAATTTCTGCTAGGTTAACCTAAATAATAAAATATACTAGTAATAACATGCTTATAAGGTGTATAGTACTGTTTTATAAATCTGCGCTGTCTATTCTAGCTTCTTAGGCGCTGGCGATTCCGATACACTAGTATTATAGAGCTTACCCTAGCTCGCTATTAAAACTACTACTTTCTTTCTCCCTTTTTCTTAAGTTTTTTTACTCCTCTAATTACTATAACACCTTAGTTTAAAGCGGATTCTAAAGGTAAATAAAAAAGTTCTTCTATACTAAGCTAAAACTTCTTTTATATACTTAACTTTCCTACTGCAACTTCTTTTATTCTTTCTATACTTAGCAGACGCTTTTATATTTTACCTTCTCGCGCCAGCTTTATATACTCTCTTTTAGCGGTCTCTTCTATCCTACCCTGCTGTTCTGCCCTTTAACTTACTCTTAATACTAATATCCTTAACCCGGTTTAGCCTGCGTTAGACCTTAAGCCTTAACCTAACTTATTACTAATTAAGCGTTTAAATATAGTATAGGAATAGATTTAGTATAAGGCTAGGAAGGTAATAAAGTGAAATTTATTTAAAAGGGATAGCTAAGCAATAAAACTGTTTTTAGATAAAAAGGCTTATAAAGTAAGTATAGGATAAAGCTAATTTATTGCGATATTTTTTAAATAAATTTTACTTTCCTACCTTTATTTATTATAATTGTATATGCGCTTTTATAATAATAAGTTAGGGGTTAAAACTTAGCGTTTAACGCAGTATATTCCGTTATTACGTGTCTAGTTTTTTTTAGCCTGCGTCGGCGGATAACTTTCGACGGCCTATAAACAGTTTAACGTCTATTCCTATATTATAAGCCTTCTTCTATAGCGAGCTAAATTAATAGTACTTCGTCTTTATAGTAATCTGCACTTTTTACCTATATCTAAATTTCCTTATATCTAACTAGGTAAGTTAGATTTTGTAATTTAGCTATTTATAGTCTTTTAGAACGTTAAATAACAAAAAAATATATTAGTATTGCGGCGTTATCGTATAATTTATAGGGTGCCTTTTTTTAGGAGTATTATAAGGCGCATCTAATACAGCTCTACTATTAACTTCCTATTAATCGTGGTAACTTAGCTATAGGTTAGTAGTATTATATATATAGACCTTATTAGTACGTTAATAAGATAATATTAGCCTTATAACTGCTGTCCGAGGCTAATTAATATAGCGTGGCGACGCCGACCGGTACTTTCTAATCGAAGAAATAACAATCCTAGCTAGCGCCGAACGCTGTGTTAGTTTTAGACGTAATAAAACTTTTATATTAGCAGGCTAAGCTAATTCTATAGCTAGTAAGCCTGTAGCTAAATAGGTAATAGCGTAAAAACGCCTATATAATAAGTTAGCGCTTATATCTTTAATAAGCGTCCTATAATTTTTACTATTATTACTTAGTAATATCTTTCTAAATCTATATAGATCTATATAACTTAATATATATAATATCTAGATTAACGCCCCCCTTTATATAGCGCAATACCTTTATTACGGCTTAAATAGTAAAGCTTACTATACAGCGTAACACGTAATATTAGAACCCGGCGAGAGGCCTTATTATAAGGGCCTATACGAGCCTTAGCAGGAGTATACCTACTAACCGCCGCCCTGCCTTTTTATAGCTCCTTAAGCTATATTTTATTATTTAACCCGCCTGCCTGCTGTGTATTATAAAACACGTAGTAAATTTAGTTATTACTTCTACCTACCTGCCCGAGCTAGCTAGGGTAATCCTGCCGCCCGAAACTGTGATAACCCCCTATACCGTAATAAATTTATTACTTTAGTATTTTGCTCTTTCCCTCGCGATTTAATTAAGTTATTATTAGCCTACTATTATTCTTTAGATATTTTTTTCTAGAAAACTAGTATATAGCTAAAAAATTACAATATTCTTAATTATACTATCGATTATTCCTTTTAAAGTATCCGGAATAGTATTAGCTTTACACCCCTGCTATACTATAGCTATCTCCTAAATTTTATATTTCGGAGTATTAAACTAATAGTTCTAGGATAAAAGAAGATATTTCTAAGCTTTAAGGTAATAGGCTCTTAGAAATATATATTCCGGATTTATCCGTATAAAAGGGTCTAGAGTATATCTTAGTATAAGGGTTTTAGCGCACTTACGTAGGAAAGTATTAGATATACTGTATTTTACGCTATAATTAAATATTATAGACTAAGGTATTAGCTGTAGAGGCCTAAGGCAAGAACTGTATTAATAAGCTTGCTATTAAAGCTATATAAAACGTCGGGCGGGGTAACCTAACTAATAAGAGATACTATATATATATAATTAATTATACTCTGCTGCTTAATATAAAAGGAAAGTGTATAGCAGGGAGCTTAATAATAGAATAGGTAGTATTTGTATATTAGAAAACAAATCCTTAAAAAGTTATAGTATATAGCCTAGGGCTATATATATCCCGGCCTAAGCGAGTATATAACTTGCAGAGGCCTTATAGGCTATACGCCTGCGCAGGCGGCTGTATATATTAGAAAGAATATATCTATATCCTGTCTAGTAGCTATATACTATAGGTGCTCCGGTTACCTTATACTTAATATTATTTCTAATCCTACTTTATCCTATATACACCTAAGTGCGATATTAAAATACAGCGGTTTTCTAGAAACATCTATAAATAGTCACGTGCTGGCTATTTTTAGCAGCCGTTTCTTATTACTACCTATTGCTACCTATCTATAATTGCTAGCGAATACGGCTTTACTAAACGTGGTCGCAATATAGATTCTAATTTACCTACCTATAAGTAGAAGCCTTAGCAATCTATTTTATATATATATCCGATTAGTACTATTAGCCTAGGCACGTAATTTGCTATAGTATAGAAAAATACCTTTCCACCACCGCTTAAGCTAATAAAGGTTATAGCTAGAGCGGTTTAGCCGTCCTCCCTATAAGCGTAATCGAGGTATTTATTAATTTTATTACCTATAAATTCGCCTTCCGCTAAAGCCTAACTGCTGCCTATTAGCCTTACCGCGCCACGCTGTTAACTCTACTACACTCTACCTAGCCTAAAGTTATACTAACTTCCTTTTTAACTTCTAAAACTAAGGATATACTAAGGTATAGCAGAATCCGCTCGCAGTACTATTTATATCTTGCTTATAGATTTTATATCTTAGGTTAGCTTAATATTCTATCTTCTAGCATGCTCGCTAACCTTCCTAAGCAGGACTCTAATTCCCAACGGATATAGGAGTTAACCTGCTTATTTCTTCTACTAGCTTACTGCCTTAAGCTTCTAATATCCTTTTCTTATTAACGTCTCCCTTCTTTAAGTAAGAAATATGTTTTTTAGCACTTAGTAACACTAGCGAAATTACCCTTACTAAGGATAATAATTTAATTCTACCCTATATAATCCTTTTATATACCTAGGAAAAGGGCTAGGAAGTTACCTTCCGTAATTTAATAGATAGCACCGGACTAGATAAGGTTAGCTATAATAAAATCCAGTTTTATAGATAATAGGCTAAACGTAATAGCTTATAATACTTTTAGGTGGACACCTACTATATTAATAAGTCTAACCTAGTAGAGCTTTAAAGTGCTATTAATTCTATATTTTGCTAGTATTAGGGTGCAGAAAAATGCTATATTTTTCTTTCCGATATCTTAATACTTAAGCGAAAAGCGGAGGATAATTTCTTTTAATATACTTAAGAGCGGGCTTTTTAGGAAAGCAAATAGTTTACCCGGGGCTAGACCCTCTAAGAGCTTTTTACGCCAATTTCGGTCGAATTCTTCTTCTAAAAATAGAAAAAGCTTGGCGATAAAAAATCGCTAGGGCAGTAAATCCGCAAAATTATAGGAATTCCTAATACAGCGCTTAAAGGAGTATATTTATTATATTTTAGTAATAAAGAGCGATTTTTATAGATATAGTGCTATAAGGTAAAAGTTAAAGAAAATAAAGCGTATTCCCTGCTTAGTATTTTCGATATTAAAATACTTCTTTACTATAGAAAAGGATCCGCAAGTGCGTTTAAACGGCTTAAGAAGGAGATTAATAAGCTAAATAAATACCTTTAAAACTTATGCTTAACTAATTCCTATAATAATAAAAAGCGTATTAAAGATATTAAAGGTAGTTTACTAGAGAACTTTTACTACTAAATCCTTAAAAATCCTAACTTCTAATAATAGCGCAATAACTAATAGAGCCGCCTGCTATAAATTAAGGGTAATCCTAGTAAAGGTAAGATAATACTTCTTTACGGTATTATTAATAAGTTAAAAAAGTTAATAGCTAAAATAAATCTCTTGTCCTACTTTTTCTATTAGGCTATAGACTTATAAATTAACAACGCTATAGCGGTGCTATAAGGTCTACTATACTTGCTTACTAATTAGCAGCTATCGCTTATATTATATATACGGAAGAAGTACAACTATATAAGTAAGGCGCTTTTTAAGAATATAAATGCCTGGGTTGCTTTATCTAAGATATTTATAGATATTCTGCAAGACCTAAACTTAAATAATTCCTACCTAATTATTAATACGCTTAATAAATATATAGCAGACTTACTAAAACTGCTAGACTTTATTATCTAGAAATCCCCTATACTATTTTAAGTTAAGTAGATTATTTCTAGCCGCAACTGGCCCGATATTAAGGAACGGCTAGAGAGTATAGGGTATAAGGTAAGGCTATGCCTTAAGCTTAACGCAGATTCTGTTTCTATAGCTATTCGTATATTTATCTATTATAAAGTATCTTAGCTAGCAAAGCGAAAGAAATACAATAATAACATACGAAATACGGTGTTAGACTATTTATACTTAAATACAAATAACACCTTCCTCTAGGTAGCTTTAGTCTGCGAAAAGCTCTAAGAAATCCCCCGGCGGAATACTCTTGCAAGGCTAAACGCGTTTCCACCTAAACTTAACCCTTTTTATAAGCGAATAATAGAGCAAATATATAGTTTAGATAATACTAACCTCTATAAGCGGATACTTGCCTTAGTTGCGATTATATACTAACCTATTAGACTTAAAAAGCTAACAGCGCTTATTAAAATACTTAAGAATATAGTTAATAATCTAGAGTTATTAGTAGAGATTATTAGCTAGTATAGTTTATTTTTTAGTATTTAAGAAGGTATTATCTACTTTATATATTAGTCCGTAAAAGACTTTCTGCTTATAAAAGCTATTAGTTAAATTTTTCTATCTAGAATAGAGGAGGTCTACTACGCTGTTTTCTTAAGATTAATTAAGGTTATAACTAAGACGCTCCGACGAGATATATATAACCTTAGTTTATTAGGATATTCTGCTAAGCAGGTTATATAACTAGATCTAGACCTATTAGTAGTATCGCGCTACTTATATATCTACTAGGTCGATTATTTTTGCAACTTAAATCTTATATTTTTAGTAAGCTATAATAATATATTGTATAACGAAGGTATTATTAACGTATTTTTACAGAAAAAGTTTTTCTACTGGCTAGAAGCTCTTAGTCTATATAAAAGCGTGCCGAAGGGTGTTATTTTAGTAGAAAAACTCTAGTTATTAATCTAAGTAGGTTATAAATAATTACTATAGTTTAGATAATTTTTATGCTAATATAAGGTAAAGAAAAGGAAATATAAGTGCATTTACTAAGCTTATTAAGGACGCGTATCGGTTTATTATATATTATAAGGGAGCTATTAAGTATAGCGCTTTCTAGGCCTATATATCTGCGCTGTTATTTAGTCTAATAAAGAGTTAGATAAGAAGGCATTTCTAGTATAAAGAGCTAGATTAGCTTATAATTAAGCCAGTAATAGGCAACGGCTAGAGCGCATGCCTATAGACGCTCGAGGGCTATAGCGGTTCGGTCCGCTTAGTGGCCTTCTCTCACGACTTAACGCGGCTGGCGTCTGCGTTAGACGACGAGACAGTTAAGATCTGGGATGCGAGCAGTGGCGAGTGCCTGCAGACGCTCGAGGGCTATAGCGATGCGGTTAACTTAGTGGCCTTCTCTTACGACTTAACGCGGCTGGCGTCTGCGTTAGACGATAAGACAGTTAAGATCTGGGATACAAGCAGTAGCGAGTGCCTGCAGACGCTTAACGTTGGCAAGGTGCCTAGCAATATATTATTTAACACTACTGGCTTATATCTTCACACTAATATTAGTACTATTAGTGTTAATTTAAACGGGCAGGTATATAATATTTATTTCCTGTTATATATTTAATAATTTACTAATATAAGCAGGATAAACCAGAGCATAAAAGTAATCCGGAGAAATTTAAGGCCGATGCGGACGGAAAAGCTAGAGAACTCTTACTATACGCTAATAAGATAAAAATGTCGTCTCTATAGCCGCAGAGTAAGCCGTCTTAAGGGGAAAGTAGATAGCCTTAAATAAACTATTTTCTACGTTATAGGGCAGCTAGGAAAGCTTAATAACAGGACTAATAACCTGAAAGTTAACTAGGCAGAGATAAAAGATATATTTAGGCAGTTGCGAACCGAAATTAATAGCTTTAAAAGAGGGATTAATAAAATATTAGACTGCGAAGATAAATATATAGGAAAAACTAGGAATAAAGTTATAGTATCTGCAAGGAAAAGGGTATATAGAGCTTAAAAGTAGATAAGTATATAGAACTAAGGGGAAACGGATTAGTACTAGCACGCTCTTTAGTTATTATATTACTTACTAGCAGATAATTTTTATATTAGATATAACTAGATCTAGCCCTACTTATTCCTATAAGTATTTACCGTGTTTATATACTTAACCGGCAAAAAGTTAGGCTAAGGTTTAGCGTTTAACACAGGGATAGCATATCCCGCTATTACGTATTTCGTCCTTCTTAGCTTGCGCCGGGCGACGACTTTTATTAGCCTATTAGTAGTTTAGTTAAAATATACCGCAACCTTTTTAACTAGCAGGGGATAGTATTATTCCTTTTATATAGAAGTTAATTATCTGTAACCTAATAGAAAAAGGGAGATATATAAGGGTTTCTAGACCTAGAGGAAGCTTATCTATAGTAGTATAGGTACGGAATCGGCCGTTATATTATTATACTATAAACTATATATCTATACTATAATCTTTCTATAACTCTTAAAATTTATTATTAAGGGTTTCTAATCGCTTTTAAACATTTTTATTTACGGCTTGCTTTAACTTTAACTGCGCAAGTATTTATATTAACTATTTTAAAGATATAGCTGTAAATACTAGATAGCGGGCGTTAGCTATAGGTATATAACCTCTGCTATATAATATAAGAACTAGAAGTAACTTCTATATCCTGGATATAGGCAGCGGAGTACGCAGAAAACAGGCTTATATTATAATCCAGTCTTTAGATTACGGATCCTAATCTAGTCCCTACTAATATTAAAATTCTAGGTTTCTAAAAGCCGCCTAGTTCTATAAAAACCTTGCTAGGAATAGTATATATTTATAGTGCAGGGCTTAGCTATATAATTTATTCGATGTAATTATAGGCCTATAACCCGAAAGTTATAGGTGCTAGAGCCTAATACTACACTAACGTTAAATTAACTATCTTCCGTGCGAAGCCCCGAAAATATTATCTAAGGTAGCTAAGCCTTAGCAAAAATATATATAGAACAGTATAGCCGTAACCTAGCCTAGTTTAAAAGTGTTTTTATAGACTTTTTTAATATTTTTAGGACTTAGAACCTAAAGAGTTCTTTAGGTAAGCTTAGATAGTATTAAGGAGATAATATCTCGAGCGAACTAGCTAATGCGTTTCCTATTAGCAAAGATATAGCAGTTAATTAAGATACTCTAACAGTAAGATTTATCTAGACCTACGCCGCATAGCTAATTTATAAAAACCTTAAGCGGTGCAGTATTATACTAACATAGTTAGATAGCCTTTTTATTGCCTTCCTTAAAATGTTCTTCTCTTAATGCTTTTATAAAGTACTTAAAAGAAGTTTTAAGATACTTTTAATAAAAAATAATACTAATACTGCTCTTATTATCCTTATTAGTTTACTTATATTTAGGATTAATCTTGCAGTAGCTCTATATATAAGCTTATAGTTTTAAGTATTTTTCTTTTTTTTTTTACTAGCTTTAAAGGATTTATAAAAATAGCTTTAATAAAAAATATATCTATATTAATACGCTTAGCTAGTTTTGCTATATTATAAGCTTTTATACTAAAGAATAGATATTAAATCTTTAGGTAAAGCAGGATAGCCACGGCTTAGTAACATGTTAAATACTTAGTAATAGTGCCGAAGTTGCTCTAGGCAGTATTCTAGTTGCGTTTCTTTTTATAATTAATTTATAACTAAGCTAAGTATAGAAAGGTCTAATTACTTTTTAAAGTAGAAAAAGTATAGATAAACTATTTTAGGTGTGGCGTTGTAATACTACTAGCTGCAGTCTCTCCCTATTAAGTTACCTAATAAGCGCTAGGTATTTTACTTTAGTAAAATAGGACTTTAGACTAGATTTAAGTATATATCTAAGAGGGTGCTAAAGGTTATAAAAGCGCTACTTCTAACTTAGCAACGCTCTTAGCGGGAAACTTTATTAGCTAAGATTTATAAAATAATAACACTAAAACACTATTTTAACCCCCTACTGCTCCCGCCGCTCTATATATTATTATAGCCACGTTACCGCCTATATTACCCTCTATTATTACTAAAAAAAAATACGTAAGTCTTCTTTTAGCTTAAGCAGCTCCTGCTAATACCGCCTGCAGATAAATACCACCTAAAGCGCAAGCGCACTAGCTTAGAGCCTATAACTACTATATCCGCGTATTGCAATATTAGCCCTAGTAAGCGCCAGCGGCGGAATTTAGATAACTTAGTTTTAGAGTAGAGTATATTAGCTATTGGGTTAAATACCTACCTACTTACCTTAGGCAATTCCAACACCTTTAGCCCACCCAGAAGTCGCGTAAGCGCCTTAACGCTATAACGCAGAAATAGCCTATTGCGCAAGATAATTGCGGCGCTAAGAGTTGCATCGCCTCTAATTATAATAGAACCGCTAGATAGGGTAGAATTAGAACCTTCTGCGCGGGTAATAGCTATAGTAGCGCAACTTAAAAACGGGCTAGATTAGGGCTAAATACCTAGGTGGCTCGAGGTATATACCAGCGTATAGCTGTTTACTACTATAGCTAGCTAACCTATTATAGAATCTAATTAAAGCCGATAAAGATATTAGCTTCTAAAGATTTAAGCCTGCCGCTTTTAGTAAAACTGCTACGCGCAATCTTTCTAACCCTAATCTTAACCCTACTATCCGTACCGAGTTGGAATATATACTAAGGAAAGTAAGGAAGATATTTAGGAAGGCGCTTTATTGCTAGATAAGGGGTTATAATAAGAATATATAGTGCGATAATATAGTTAGGCCGATAGTAAGGCTAGCGCTCCGGCTATACGCTAAGGGTAAACTCTATATCTAGAGTATATACTTCTATTCTACCCGGCCTACTTAAAAATATTAATAAGCTAATATATTTAATTTAGCAGATAATCCCAGAATATCGACCTTAAGTTCCTCTCGCGCGCTGCTAATATATCTGGCAAGCAGCGCACCTTTAACCGAAAGGCCGACTACACCTTTTTCTACTTATATAACGCATCGCCTTTTAAATCTCTATACGCACGCCTTCTCCGGCACGGAAATAAGTATATTAGCTATATAACCAACACCTTTACTAAACTATAGCCGTTTTTTCTAGTATTAAAGTTAAGCCCTCTAATAGTAATAAGCTTAAAGCTAAATACCAGCTTAGTATATAGATAGCAGCGAGTCTACGTAAAAAGGTAAATCTAGGACGGCGCGCAGGCCTGCCTAATACTACCTGCCTTATAGAGCCGGGATTTACTGTTATAGAACACGAGCTATATTTTTATATTATATATCTGGAATTTAGGAAAGGTAAAGCGGCGCGTATTCTAGAGTTTAGTAATACTGCAACTAGTAGTATAACGTAATCCACAAGTTAGTGGCCCGCACAAGCTAGTGGCCCACCCAACCACGCTACCGAGGCCAAATATTCCGAATTACTCCACCACGAACAAATATATTTGATGCAGCTACATACTAGCTAGCTGCCTGCCGCCTAGGGCACGTACGTGCATTGTGTTCTGTTGATTCGCACATGCTGCACCTAGGTTTTGCTCGCTGTGGCCGCTCGGCCGGTGGCTCTGCTGCCTCCTCTG